ATCATTAGTCATTTAGCTGACTTAGGGCTCAACAGAGAGGAGGAGGAGGAACATTAAAGCAACAACATGTCGAGAGGGGGGGGGGACAGAAGTGTGGTTCACCGGTGAAAAGAGAAAGATGAACATAAATGCGGCAAAAAGGTAAGATGAATATTGGGGAAGACGTCAAATATGACATTCAGTGGGGTCATTGTAGTTTGAAGTGAGAAGTCAACTGCCAGTTAATAGACTTTTTTGCCGTATGAGTATACGTTGCCTAGGGTGCACCACGTGGAGGTAAGTCTATCGCACACCCCAATGTTTGGAACGTACAACTCGTGCAAATACAGTATTGATATTGAGCAGAAATGCATTGCAGTCCCATGGAAAGAAGGCTTTATCAGGTGATTTAAAAATGCAGTAGCTTTAAGTAAAAAAATCCTCATTGAACATACACGCGGTCAAAGTATCTGGAGAGGTGAGACTCCATCGATGGCCAAGGGATTCCAAATCTTTGCCAGACCAGTCGGCTTTAAATTAAAATCGTCAAAAAATTATGAAGTTGAAACAGAATAAATGTGGAATAAATCACCAATATACAGTTCATTTCCACAAAAACGTAGAATTACAGGAATTTTTAAAAATTGAAAGCAGGCGCTTACATTTCCACCTTGATTCCGTCCACTTTAAGACATGAAATTTCCTCACTTCCACAAATCGGAATGCAAAACAAACTTCATCACTATTTGCTTGCCGGCCACAAAGAGAAGAATCCAAATAGTTATATTGTTTTCATTATCCGTTTCACGCTAAGGCGTTGCCTTAATTGATATATGCTTATGGGTCGTTTGAGGAGCTTTAACGGTGAGAAGAATGATTTGGCAAAAGTTTAACTGAACTGTTTTATGTTCAAATACCTTTTCTCTCATATTTCATGCATAAATTTATTCCATGGAAGCCAAATTTATTGGTCATAGAATGATTTCAAGAAATACTTACATCCTGGTCAGGTAGCTCAAATGACTTGCCCTTTGTGGGACACGTCATCGCACAAACAATCTGAGTACGATGGTTGGCTGGATGATGATTAGGTTATTATTAATGTATAGAACGAAATGCTCTGCACTGATTGGACACACATGAGAAGAGGAATGAATACATGCTCCTATTGGCGTGTGCCTGATGTGAAAGTAAAAGAGAAGTATATTCCATGGCGTAGATGTCTGACTTCGTTGTTGACACAAGTGGTGATGGTGACTGCAGCCTCAAGTCCTGTCGACACATTGTACAGCAGCAATTGAAAAAAAAATTGGCCAAAAAATTGTCACATACCACACCATTCTCGAGTTGTGATTTGCATCTGCCCAAACATTCCAGTAGTTAACTCGTAGAATAAACGTACATTGAAGTGAAATTGCTTCTTTGCAGACTAGTTACGTTAGGTTATGTCTAACTATTAAGGATGCCACTAGTGATAATTTAAAAGGACATTTGTTACCCTAGTCAGTTAGTTTCTACTAATGAACTTTTAAAAAGATAAATATATTAGTGCTCATTATTAGTAGCGTTTATTAGTGAAAAGTGTTAGCATAAAAAGCTTGTTGCACCGAAATTGCCACAAATTGAGCCATACATTCACTAATCATGCAAACTACTGAAGGCACAACTTCAAGCGAAGGTATTTGGGAAGAGAAGTAATGATATGAAGTGAGCACATTGATTGTCCAGATGATATCAAAAATGGAAATTTGAAAATTGAAAAGAATTTGGTTTCATAATGTTCTCGATGTGTAGGGAGGTGGAGACCTCTTGAAGAAGTCAGAATGCTATATCTTTACGGTCTCGTGGAGGTGCACGTGGAGGCACAAAGAGCAGGAAGCGGATGGAAACGCGCAAATAATCTGAGTACGATGATTGGCTGGATGATGATTAGGTTATTATTAATTTATAGAACGAAATGCTCTGCACTGATTGGACACACATGAGAAGAGGAATGAATACACGCTCCTATTGGCGTGTGCCTGATGTGAAAGTAAAAGAGAAGTATATTCCATGGCGTAGATGTCTGACTTCGTTGTTGACACAAGTGGTGATGGTGACTGCAGCCTCAAGTCCTGTCGACACATTGTACAGCAGCAAGTGAGGCAGATCTAATACACACCCAAGACCCTCTTCAGAGCCATCTCATTGGTTACTGGATGGAATTCTCATCACCGTGCCAGTTTCTTTATTGTACATTTTGTACATAGTGTATATAGACAGTCTGGCTGCTCATTGGGAATTCCATCCAAACTTCGTAGTTGTTGGCTCGTGAACCACGAGGTAGAGCGAAGTCACGGTTCCCTTCAGGACCATCTCAATTCAGATTGATTCTTCCCATTCCATCCCTTCACCACTCCGCACTACTCTACACTACTCTGCACGGTGTTTCAGTGTCGATACTTTAGTTCTGTGAATATTCTTCAACTTGACTGGGGGACGGTGAGGTTTAGTGTGAAGAGCAATTCATGGGTCTTCATTCAACTACTGATTGTTGAAGTTTGAGTGCTCTTGTGAGGAGAGACTTTTGGGAGCTTAGATTAGGCTTCACGAATGCCAGTATGAGAGAACGAATGTACAAAGGAGGTGTTTGCGTGAACTTATCGTTAAACAATTGAAGACTTTGGGCATTAATTTATTAAGCAAAAATTGTCTTTGGGTTTTCGTTAAATTCACCTGGATATTTGGGGACATTTCTTTATCACACCATCCGTATATGTCCATTTTGCTCGGTTCACTTTATCCACAATGCAATTTTTCCAACAACTATTTGTTTTAATTGCAAGTAAACCATGCAACCTGTCTTGATACATCATTTCAATAACATTCTGCAGTAATTCGTTTGCTTTATGACTTGACTGGATTCCGCAAAATTGATGATATCATTTAAGTAGTTTAATGTAGTTAGTTGGTGATGGCAAATTAAATTAATTAAATTTTATTTGGCCAATGCTCATTTCGAATTACTTAATAGATACAACAAAATAATAGTTGAGATTGTGTGTAACGTCTCAGAATTAAAATGGAAGAGAATAAGAAACACGTTTACTCCTTGAAACGCCCTTTGGACTGAACGTTCCACTTTCAAAACATCCTCCACTGATACTAGTCCCGTAACGGAAAGTGATTTTGTCATTTGAAACATGTTCAAAGCGTCAATAGCCAATTATATTTGGTTACACTTTGAGCAATGCAAATGGGCCGATGATCATTAGGATCGGCATAGATATTTCATCAACAATTAAAGGTCTATCGGCTCAGAACTATGTTCAGTTCCATTAAATCATCAGGCAAAGCACACAGTTTAGAAAATCATGGCTTTCATTAATTTTAAATATTAAATATTATATATTTAAATATTTAATATTAATATTAATATTTTAAAAGAAAAAGATAGAGCACTTTTGGACTTGCGTAAGTTTTTGAAATATTCCTTGGGATGAAGTAAAACAAAAACTCGAAACGAATGTTACTATTAGCCCTCTTAAAATTATAATTATGAAATCTAACTGGAAAATAAATTATTAATAATTTCTAACTGAAAAATTGACATTAAACATTTTTTTCTATTTCATATTCTTGAAATTCATTTAAGTCCAGATATTTTGTTTAAAACAACTGAATGCATTGGCGCTTAATTCATAATATTGCCGTACATGAACATGCGTACTGCTGCTGTAATAGAAAACGTAAGTGATCATTCAATTATTTAAAGTGCTTTTTTCTTCACTTAATAAGCATAGCATTGTTGGTAAAATGTATCCATTGTTTAGTTTTACTCCTTTCGCATCTACTGATGAACTGTAGTTCTCTCTAAACGTGAAATTGTATTTATTTGAGTCAAAATTAGCTGCTGTCTATTGATTGTGTACACCGAAAAGGTTTTGTTCATCTGAATTCTTAATTTACCTTAATTGACTTGCAATATCAGATCAATTGGGAGTAGACCCACATAGAGACGCACATGCACAATTGATCCCATTAAAAGGTGAAAGTTTTGCCTTGAATCCACATTGCGTTAGATGGTATATTGTAAATCCACTTCTTCTAGCTGCATGGAATAGGAGCAGGCATATGATAATTACTCAATTTTGCTCCAATTTCAGACGGATGCTCCATCCCAAATTGAAAACTCGTTCATTGATCTGGAGAACGCGAACGACAACATTCGTCGTCAAGCACTCGATGATATTGAAAATCTAAGCACAGGGGTTCCAAAAGAACAGTTCATCAGCATTTACCGAAGACTACTCAGCTGTTTTAAGATATATCCCCCAAATTCCTCTTTCACTATACGATTTGGAAGGCGTATTTGGGAAAATTTGCAAGAAAGAAGAACATATTTTAACTGCGAGGAATTGTTGAAAATGTTTTTGGATGTCATTGCTTCCAAGATAAAAGGAGCTGACAATTCTTCACTCAACGAATATCTAGTGGTAAGTCCAGATTGCAATATATTTGTGTGAGAAATTTACTATTTGTTAAACTGTCACGACAACGTTGTAAATTACCCACCCCTCTACCCCTCACCCCTCTCCCCACCTCGATTTCCTAAGTTGAAGTGCTTATAACGTCTTTTCTATGTAGATGGCAGAAGACGCTATTTCCAATGCTGGACATCTGTTGAAAGATAGCCGATTTATGGAGTTGTTTCTGCAATATTTGCAACTGAAATACTTGTCTTTACCTCACTATATCAAACCTATGCTAACGAGAATAATATCAATTATTGAGTCTTCAAGTTTGCAATACGGCGGAGCTATAAGAGACTCACTCCCTGTTGCATTACAACTTACCCACCTTGGGTCATGGGAGCTTCGCGAAGCCATTTTCCGTCTGTTACGAAGAGTTTATGAGGCCATTTCTGCTTCAACTGACAAACCTTTCTTGGACTGCAATTTCGAAACCGTTGGCGTTCTGCTCGAGGCTCTCAGTGATAATTGCGCTCGAATATATCACCAAAGACAAGATGAAGACGTGCCCACAAGCGTCTTGATTGCCTTGCCTCTTGGTTGGCTCATTCATTCAATGGAGGAGGGTACGTCCCAGTGTTTGAGGCAAATTTCGCTTTATTCAAGCTCAGTAAATGTTACCAATTTCTCTTGCATTTTGACCTAGATGAAGGCGAATTCGAAACTCATGAAGCTCTTATTAATGGAGTGGTTATTATTCTCAACTACTTACATCTCATTTCCCAATCAAATGTTGGAATTATCAAGTGGCTTCTGCACCCCAAATTCAACTTTACCGCCAGCGTTGTTGCCTTGCTACTTTACAGCAGGGAGGAAATAGTGGAGGGGTGTGTCCTCGCACTTCTTGACTCCATTATTTCGCAGATAGAGAAGAGCCGATATGCTGAAGACCGCGAAGTGAAGGTGCAGGTAGAAAGGGAGGCTGAGCGTCTTCGTGTGAATATGGCATTCATTGAGGCTTTGCATTCAAGAAATAGAGGTATGCTAATGCTCCACTCTTTTAATTGAACCCCCCCCTTCTTATAGTAGAGGTTGTTCTAACCTTGTCTTTTCAGCGGAAGCAGGCCAAATTATGAGCAAATCTGCAGAGGACCTGTTCAATGACCATCGAAATCGCGATCCCCTCATTTGGGCTGATTATTTGGGAGCAAGTGAATGGAAAGAGTATTTGTTGAAATGTTCCAACGGGGTTGGTGACAACAACTCACGTAACATAAGGCTGCACCTGGAAATGGAAAGGTGGACATTAATGAGGAGTTTGAATGTAGAATCCAGTCAAAGTCGTCAGCGTCTTCATCTCTTCTACTTCTTGGCGGAACTCTTGCCTGTCCTCTTGATGAAATTCCAGAAATATCCTTCAGAAATTCATCGGTATGTCTCAAATTCCTTTTTCCTTCATCATTTAAGTCACAAATGAAAGGGAAAGTGTGGATGGAGTGGATGGGGTGGATGGGGTGGATGGGGATCCAACAGCTATGCAATAGTTTCCTTTTTATTGTAGGTACGCAATAATTTTGCTGATACACAAAATAATTAATAATATGTCTGGACCAATATTGGAGTGGACACTTCTGCTAACGGCGGGTGGCAACATCTGCCTGCACACACTTTGCTACGTAATTCGTGACGCATATAGGAGTCCAGATCATAAAACGGTAGTTGCAGCTTACGAGGTGTGGAAAAGTCTCGTCAGGGCAGTACCGTCGGGACCTGCGCGTCTAGTCGATGAATACAAACGACGTCACATACTCCCTCGATTCAATCAGCCTTCCACACTGGGAATCTACCTGATGCTTTGGTAAGTGATCATTTGCGTAAGAGCTGCCCACTTTTGCTTTAAACCGTGAACACATACGGCAACTGAGTGCAATTTATGCTTCTATTTAAAGGCAGAATGAAAATTGTTGCGAATTAGCGGAAATCAGTCGAGGCGTTTATAGTGCGGCTGAGTACCGCAGTAAAGAAGTTGTGATATTTCAACTGGAGAGGCATTTTCAGGCACTTAAGAGTATTTTCGGAGGTGCGGACATGGTGCTGACTGCGTCCAAACTGCGAACGAGTGGAATCATAGATGCTCTCCTCGACTGTCTCGCAGCATCTTCGTGCTACAAGTGGCACCGATCGGTACGTTTATAAGCACATACTTTCTTCTAATATTCAATGCGCCCACCTCATCGAACCTGCCTTTTGTACAACAGATCAAAGTTGGCACAATGGAAAACCATCATGACTTCTTAATTCAACGTCGTAATGCGTTTATGCTTCAATTTCACAAATCGCAAGAATTGAATAGGCTATTTCGGCTTCTAGTGGAGGAGGTGGAAGAGGTTGGGACGTTTTCAATATACTTGCCCGAGCTTCGTTTGCACATGAAAAATATGTGGGCTTCCTGTACCGAAGATCCAACGAGCGTGCGAGGACGGCAAATGGCTAACTGGCACTTCGTGTTGAAAGGAAGAACTCTGGAGGTGACACAGAGTGACAAAGCTATCCAAATATTGGAACAGTGGTTTGACATAATGCCCGAATCAGAATTGGATAATCTTGAGAATACTGAAGGTCATTTACTGGGAGTTTGGGCAAAGTTGCAATTGCACGAACCTTTTGTAAATGGAGGAAATTATTTTAATGACAGATCTGCTGTCCTGGTTCTGAAATCATTTCAAACATTA